GAAAGCTAAGCCAAGGAAAAAATGAACTTGGGGGGCCTAATTTTCCTACTCACTTACTCTGTTTTTACACCAGTGCAACTTCATTGACTTCAGTGGAGATACTTCTTATTTATACTGGTGTAAGTAAAGGAGGGATTGGGGTGTAGTGTTCAAGAGAATCTGCACTAGTAGTTATTGAATAAGGAAAAGAATAGGGAGCTGTAATTTTTGTTATCCAGTAAAGATGAAGACAAAGGCGTGTTGTTGTTTGGACTGTTTATTGCCAGTTTCTACATTTCAGTTTGTAAAGGAGACATGGTGCTCTAGAGATAAAGTAATGGGTTTAAACTGACAGCAAATCAGTGGTAAAGCCAGGACTGTAATCTCTGACTCCTGACATCCGCTCCCATGTTCTGATCACTAGACTTCTCTTCTCCTTTGGTATATACACTCCAGAAAGGAAGCACCCAGTCAAATTCTGCAGTGATCTAAACAGTGGGGGTGGTCAGAAAATGGGCATAATCCATTCATAAAATAAACAACGGTTTTGAAAATGTGGCTGAAAGTCTTAAATAACTTGTACTGATTGGTCATTCAGTGAGTGTGCAGATTGAGTATAATTCATATGCTGAGATGACAAAATGAAAATGTCTAGCACGAAAAACTACTGACAGGAGCATGAGAGATAGAGGATGCCTTTGCTCCTGTTATACCTACCCATTTCCTCCTCTTTGTGTGGAAATTACCCTCATAGTATACTCTCATTGGATGACAAGTTGGTGAAAACTACAGTACTTTACTGCTTACACCCAATGTGCAATTGACATCAGTGTTCATGTTGCTGCCCTAGAGTGTTCAATGGGAGTTACACTCATTATTCCTAGACTGTAAATCTAGGGCTTGTGTTTGCCCAAAATGTAGCAATTATTAAGGAAAAAATTCTTCAGCCACTCCACACACAGAACTCCAATTGACTTTTACGTTCATTCTAAGTAACTACGGGATGCGGTACCACTGGCTGCTAGAACTCTTCACAGTCAGCTAGACCAGATGCCCAGTGCCCATGTGCACAATTACCATCGCTTCATTTTCAAAGTGATTTCAATGGTACAGACACTCTTACATTTTGCTGTAGGGTGTGTAGATAATTTCAGGTATAAATTACTTTGTTGTAATAATGTGTGTAATTCTCTTTTTATAATCTTGGCCACTTCATTAAAACTACGCTGCATCCTACCTGCTATCTTTATCTCTGTATAATGTATCCAAACTCTCATACATTTTTATTTCCTGAAATGCTGATCGTTTCATAAAACTCAAGGTTTTACAGACAGTTTTCTCCCTGATTATTTTATACTTTCTGATATCTAACTCCATTTACCTCGCTATTGGAAAGCCTTTGAGACTCAAATAATTGAAGCTATTACCGCCTGTATGGAAGTGCATTTTAGTTGCTCTTGGAAAATAGGTAATTTCTCATTTAAAGGCTAACTGCATTCTCTTTTTTTTAACCTTAAGTAAAAGCCAGATGTTAGGATTCATGAAATGCCTTTTCTAACACAGGCTGAAGATAGGATCAGAAGAAAGAAGGTATGTTCATTTTTGTTCAAAATGTAAAAAGTTCCAATTCAAAAGGAAAATAGAGAGAAGATCTCTTTATAGAGCCCAACTTTAGACATTATGTGAATATGTGAAAGGCTCTAGCATTTAGATGGGAACAATACAAGCAACAGACATGGTGCAGTTCGGAGATTGTATTATTAACTATACAACATGGCTAACTATACAACATTGCAGCATTGTAGTCTTGCGAGATGAGTATGGTAAAAGTGTGGGGGGAGGCTCTCCAATTTTACATGATAAAGGTGACTTGTGAAGCAAAATGTTTTCCTTGTGCCCTTTGTTGAGCATATCTGATGTACAATAAAGAAATCATAAAATTGTATTTAATGCAGTCCTAATAAAAGGGAAGCAGAGACACCTCTTTTTTTAAACAGTATTAAATATTGCAAAAAACTTTCTATGAATATTAACGAATTCACTTCATGTAATGCTCACACCTCTTTGTGTTTGCAACTTTGGAGAGAGCAAATTTGAAACTTGCATGTGTGAATACATATGCAAATTCACATGTGTGATAGCATGAGATTTTTATATGTAAATATTAATATAAATAATGCCACCTTTTGGGACATAAAATATGTAGTGTTGTGTCATCAGATTGTAGGATAAATAAAGTTATCTGCTGCAAATGGCTTCTCGATTGCACAGCTCTTAGCATGAGTTTGTGTGTGCATATTAATTCAGAATCGGAACAATTGCATGTGACTTATCTGACCAATCAAAACTAACCAGCAAACAAATAGCAAAAGTGAATATCAAATGCTCACAGAGAACAGTGTGAACAATCTATAGAGTGAAACAAAGATGCGTAAAAGAGGAATACAGTTCTGAAACTAACCTCCTCAGAGATATTCCTTGAGCAGAAAAAAAGGCTAAATGATTAACTGATACTCTTTTGCTCATCTCTAATTTTAATATTGGAAGTTTTGATGGAGAGGTGGTGATGAACCTTAGGCTGTGTCTACACTAGGAGCACTTTAACAGTACGTTATACCGCTTACCAGTTCCTAGTGTGAACACAGCTTATTCTGTCAAAATTGTACTTATCCTGGTATACGTTTTTTGTGTGTTTGTGTGCCAGTATAATTGTGTCTACCAGGGGCGTTTGCTGGCACAGCTACATCAGTCACAAACCACACCTCATCATACTTCTGACCAACATAGCTATTCTGGCTATACTGCTCCACAGGGAAGCAGTCTGGTGTAGTAGAGCACTGTGGTAGGACTCTGGAGACCCAAGGCCTACTCCTGGTTCTGCCACTGGCCTGCTGGGTGACCTTATGTAAGTCACTTCATCTCTATGACTTTCACCATGTTGAAAATGGGCATAATGATACTGATCTCCTTTGTCGAGCATCTTGAAATGTATGGATGAAAAGCACTATATGAGAGCTGTTCCTATGCCGCCTATAATAGAGTTAATATATACTATTTTTCCCATATGTATATGAGTGTGTATATGGAAAATAGTATTTGATCAAATATTTAAAGACTATCAGAATGCAAACACACAAGGGGCATGAATTAAGGTATGCAGGGCCACCTGAGCATTTCCTAACTTCTGAGTGTTTGACTTTGCAAATGTTGTTAATGTTCTTTTAGTGTCGTTTTTAGTTTGTAATTTCCTAGCATTTTTAAAAAGGCAAATTAACCCTCCCCAGAAATTCCATCATGTGATATCATATTGACTCCCTCATGCTTACAATCAATTTGTAAGCACCAAGAGCAATGCTTCTCAACCTATTTACCATTGAGGGCCACCTATGCAGCTCTCTCTGTTATGTAGGCTGCATCCACAAAATATATATACTACCTGTATGGCCCTGAGGATGTCACATGGGCCACAGCTGTGTGCTGATTGGGTTGCAAGTGGCCCGTGGGCCATGGGTTGAGAACCACTGACCTAGAGGATAATAGTGGGACAAGATATGGCCAACATGGATTTGTCAAGAACAAATAATAAAAAACCAACCTAATTTCTTCTTTGACAGGGTTATTGGTCTAGTTGATAGGGGACAAGCAGTCAAAGTGATATTTACATCAGCAGGTCCAGGTAATTTGCATCCAAGAGTTTTAAAAGAGCTGGTTGAAGAGCTCACTGGCCTGTTGTTGTTGCTTTTCAATAAGTCTAGGAGCATTGGGAAAGTTCCAGAAGACTGGAAGAATGGTAATGTTGTGCCACTATTTAAAAAGGGTAAAGGGCATGGTCCTGATAATTATAAGCCTGTCAGCCTGGCATTGATCCCTGGCAAGCTAATGAAGCAGCTGATACCGGACTCTATTAATAAAGAACCAAAGGAGGATAATGTCATTAATGCAAATGAACATGGGTTTATTGAAAACAGATCCTGTCAGACTAACTTGATATCATTTTGTGATGCGATTACAAGTTTGGTTGATAAAGATAATAGTGTTGACATAACTTAGACTTCTGTAAGGCGTTTGACTTGGTACCACACAATGTTTTAATTGAAAAACTAGAACAAAATGCAATTAATGTGCCACGCATTAAATGGATTAAAATCTGGCTAACTGATAGGTCTCAAAATGTAACTGTAAATGGAGAACTCTCATCAAGGGGGTCTGTTTCCAGTGCCATCCCACCGGGATTGGTTCTTGGCCCTATTCTATTTTAAAATTGTTATCAATGACCTGGAAGCAGAGACGACCCATGCCTGCTGATAAGGGGGGAGGAGGAGGCGGCAGAGTGAGGGCAGCTGGCTTCTTGCAGTGTTACTGAGCATGCTTAGTACAAGCCAAACAGCAAATCTGGGGGAGCACGTGACCCCACATGCCCCTCCCCCTGCCAACGTGTCTCTTCTCCTGGAAGAAAATATAAAATAATCATTCATAATGTTTACAGATGACACAACAATTGGGGGAGTGGTAGATAATGAAGAGGAAAGGTCACTGATTCAGAGCAAGCTGGGTTGGTTGATGAACTGGGCGCGAGCAAACATATACATTTTAGTATGGCTAAATGTAAATGTGTACATCTAGGGACAAAGAATGTAGGCCATACTTACAGGATGGGGCACTCTATCCTGGGAAGCAGCAGCTCTGACAAAGATTGGGGGTTGTGCTGGATAATCAACTGAACATGAGCTCCGGTTGTGGTGCTGTAGCCAAAAGAGAGAATGTGATCCTGGGATGCAAAATAAGGGAATCTTGAGTAGGAGTAGAGAGGTTATTTTATCTCTGTATTTGGCATTGTGTGACCACTGCTGGACTTCTGTGTCCAGTTCTGGTGCCCACAATTCAGGAAGGATGTTGATAAATTGGAGTGTGTTCAGAAAAGAGCAACGAGAATGATTAAAATATTAAAAGATATGCTATACAACGTTAGACTCAAGGAGCTCACTCTATTAATTTAACAAAGAACAGATTAAGAGGTGACTTGATTACCATCTGTAAGTATCTACATGGGGAACAAATATTTAATAATGGGCTCTTCAGAGAAAGATATGTCACAATTCTCATGGGCAAATGTGGTCTAGATTAAATCATTTTAAGGTGGGTACACAGCTAGTTGAAAAAAAAACATATTATCAAAAAGGGAGGCCATATCTAGTGGGGTTGCACAGGAGTCTGTGCTGGGTCCAGTAGGATTCAACATTTTCATTAATGACTGGGATGACAGTGTGGAACATGTGCTTATAAAAATGTTTAAATAACATAAAGTTTGGGAGGGTTTGCAAGCACTTTGGAGGATAGGATTAGAATTGAAAATGAATTGGAGAATTGGCTTTGAAATCAACAAGATGAAATATAATGAAGATGGGTGCAAAGTGCTAGACTTAGGAAGGAGAAATCAAATGCACAAATATAAAATGGTAAATAAGTGGCTAGGGTGGTAATGCTGCAGAAAAGGAACTGGGGGTTATAGTGGACTAAAAATTGAATATGAGTCAACAATGTGATGCAGTTACACTCCGGAATGATATATGCCATTTTTGTATTATGTGGAGGTAATTCTTCTGCTATGCTTGGCACTGGTAAGGCTCAGCTAGAGTACTGTGTCCAGTTTGGGCAGCACATTTAAGAAACATGTGAACAAAGTGTAGAGAGTCCAGATGAGAGCAACACAAATAAGAAAAGGTTTAGAACTCCTGACCTATGAGGAAGGGTTAAAAAAAACTGGGAATGTTTAGTCTTGAGAAAAGAAGACTGACGGGGGGAAGCTGATACATGTTTTCAAATATGTTCAGGGCTGTTATAAAGAGGATCAATTGTTCCGCATTACCTCCACTGAAGATAGGAGAAGAAGCAATCATTGTAAGCTGCAGCAAGATTAGATAAAACTTTCTATCGATAAAGATAGCTAAGTCCTGGAATAGGTTACCAAGGGAAGTTATGGAATCCCCATAACTGGAGATTTTTAAGAACAGTTGGACAAACACCTGTCAGGAATGGTCTACATTTATTTGGTCCTGACTCAGTGCAAGGGAAGGACCAAATGACCTCTTGAGATCCTTCCAGCCCTATCTTTGTATGGTTAATGAGCACAGTTGGAACCTTTACATCCCCAGCACAGACCTCTGCCACTTGAGTTAATGGAATAACTGACAGAAGTAGTAAGCTATTATCTTCAGTGTGGACTGGAACTAGAGAGGGAGGAGACACTTTGCCAGTAGATTTCACAAGTATTTGCTGACTTCAGAGGAATGATAAGACTCAGGAATCTTGGGCTCCATTCCAGCTTCTGGAGAACAATGTTCATAATGGTTATAGACTGTTTTTTGCCGTTCTCTCCAAGCCTGACTCCTTTTGCCCCTGTTCCCTCCAGCCTGTCCCAGTCCTCTCTCTTTCCCCTCTCCCATCTGATTGGCCCTGTCTCAGCCTCACTGCCTCTGTCTGCCAGTGTCCTCACCTAGCCAAGCCTGGGCTTCTCATCCCAGACTCTATCTCCTTTCCCAGTTTCTTTCTCAGGACTCTACATCTGAGTCCCAGTCCTCACCCCCACCTTGCTACTTGCCCCAGACTCATTGACCGGCATTTTTACTCTCACAGTTACTCTCCCAGACTCCCTTCCCATTGGGCTCCCAGTCTCTTTGCTCAGCCAGTTCCAGTCCCAGACTACCTCCCACCACCAACTTCTAGTCCTAGTCTCCCCATGCCTTCCTCAGGCAGCTTATACTAATCTACGCCTTTGGCCAACCCCAGGTCTGGTTCTTGTGCCCTCTACATTCGAGTCAATCTCCTTCCTCCTCCATGATGCTGAGGTACCATGTCACATGGTTTAGAACAGTTAAACTGGGAGTAATTGTAAATCATATTCATTATCTGAGATTATGACCTCAGAAGTATCACTGCAGGATTTACAGTGCAGACTAAGGCTGTTTTTATAACTACAGGATTTATATTATTTCATCTACCCCCCCCCATTGTAAATAAATGGTCTAACAATATGAGCATTTTTAATATACACTCCAATCCTACAACCTTTAGCCACATGAGTAACCCTTACTCAAGCAAGTAGCCCTGTTGAATTCAATAGGACTGTTCATGTGAGTCAAGACCTAAGCCTTTAGGGAGTGATAAGAAACTGGATATTTTGAAAGCTAATACCAAGTACATTGGTAACCCACATTCCATTTCAATAGATTACAAGACCCCTTGGGAAGTTTTAATATATGTTCTATTAAGTTCTCCCTTGAACCTTGCCAGCTGATTTAATTTCTCATACTCCGGCTAAGAGGTTATTATTACCTGTGATGAATACTGTGTACAACTTGAAACATTTCTGCTGGCTGGTTATTGCACACATTAGCTGCTGTAATTGATTTGGTATTAGTCTTGCACACTTGATTTTGCTTAATAGGTTATGCTGAGCAGTGAGCGTTATGAGTATGTACAGGTGGGTTACAACAGGCAGATCTATTCCTTCTTTTAAATGCACACTTGAGCAGCCTCTGGATGAAAGATTCTTATTTCATCCTTTGCTATCTTGTTTTCTTGGAATGTGCTGAATCTTTTTATTATTTTGGTGGTCTCTGTTTCTGTTCCCCACAAATAGTTTTATATATGTTTTCATTCCCTTGAACTAAAGACACTTTCATTCTATCATGCCTCCAGATAAGGGTATATTCCAGCCATATTTCACCACAGTATCTTTCACTAGCAATAATGGCCCCAATCCTGCTTCCATTCATGAGGTTCTCACTCTGGTGAAATCAATGGAATTCAACTGATGTAAAACTGGTGTGAGACCAGAATCAGGCCCAAGACCAATCTCCTCAGAGGGTGAAACTCATCTATATATTGAGAGCTTTGCAGTAGGGATCTGTAGGGGCCATCCATTGTAGGTGGAATGACTGTGTGGGAGAACTCTGTATCCTCTGCATGAGAGTGGTGGGCTCCATGCCAGATCAAAAGAGGCTGGTGTACAGGGGAGCTTTGGGAAGTCGATCCAGTGCCTGGTTATGCTAACATAATGCGTGGCCACTATTTCAGCTTATAGCATGAAGCATTGCATAGGGACAGATTGTGCTGCATTACCGTGTGGCTACCCTAGTCGTCTCAAAAATTCCTGGTGGACTAGTAGTTTCCTAGAATTTATGAGTAGATCTTGCATTTCTCTGAGATTTTGGGGTTTCTGTAGTGTCATTACAAGGTATTTCCACCTCCTTTCCAGGGCAATGCGGCAATAAATAGATAACCAGGGCCATCTATATAAGTGAGGTGAGGTGCTGGGCAAACCTCTAAAGGTTAAAAGGTTTAATCATTGCTACTGAGTCGACTTCCTGGCATTGAGGCTTGAAATGGCCAGCAGCAGACCAAAGCACTGCATAAAGTCACTGAGGGAACTGGGCAGATTCAACAGGAAGGCCTTGTAGGGAGACACCACTGCATTTCTCCAGCCCCAGGAATCCTCAGACAAAGGAGATGGAGAGGAGGCGACTGTTCTGGCACAAACCTGCAGGAGGTAAAGAAAGGATAAAGGCTTCAATAAATAAATAAAGGTCTGAAGCAAAATAACAAAACTCACTTGGCTGACTTGAATGCCAGAGCTCAGTCTGCAGAAGACAGAATTGGTAATGAGGGCTGCACAATCGCAGGAAAAGCTGCTTGCGAATTTTTCAATAAAATATTTTTTTCGAAAAATGCCAATTTATCAAAACTGAAACTTTACAAGGGACCACATTCGTTTTCTCTAAACTTTCATGAGGAAGGTTTCTCAGGTCCAGGATGGAATGTCTCAAAGAGAGGGGAAGAGACTTATATCCCTCTCCCTCCTCTTTCCCCCGCTAGTAGTCCAATAGTTACAGAGCTCATCTGCACTGCCAGGCACAGGTTCACCTCTCTGTTCGGCCAAACTGGATTTTGTTCTGTCTTTTACTTTTACCTTGGAACTGCAGTAGGAATTAGGTTTTTTTTTTTAAATATTTTATTTGTTCATTGTGGTTTCATGCCGCCAGTCAAAACAGACACTGGCATTTGGTCAGAGTAGTTTATTAGCTGAATGCCATTATCTTTTCTTGTCATTACCTAAAGCCCAATAATTAATTACGGCATAGACCCATGCTGAACAGTATATGCTTTATCAGCTGGTAGCACAATTCTTTGACAATCCTTTTCTAGCTTTTCCAGTGAAGCCACTCAGGGTTTTGCTTACAGCGTTGAGGTGAGAGACCAGCTATGAATGTAGTACAAGATTTGAGGCTGTTGCTAGCATGTATTAGATCAGGGGTCGGCAACGTTTGGCACGCAGCTCGCCAGGGTAAGGACCCTGGCAGGCCGGGCCAGTTTATTTACCTGCTGACGTGGCAGGTTCAGCTGATTGCGGCCCCCACTGGCTGCGGTTCGCCGTCTTGGGCCAATAGGGGCGGCAAGAAGCGGCGCGGGCGAGCGATGTGCTGGCCGCGGCTTCCCGCCACCCCCATTGGCCCGGGACAGCGAACCGCGGCCAGTGGGGGCTGCGATCGGCCGAACCTGCCGCATATGCAGATAAATAAACTGGCCCGGCCTGCCAGGGTGCTTACCCTGGCGAGCCGCGTGCCAAACGTTGCCGACCCCTGTATTAGATCAATCCTCCACAAAGTTCACTGGGCTAGATAGTGAGGCAGCTATGTACAGTGATTTCATTCTACAGCTATTCTCTTCCCCGAGAAACACTGTTTTGGGTCATTACACTATAAGGATATTATTACAAAATTCTATGGGCCAGATTCTAGGCTGGTATAAATCTGCAGAGGTAAAAGAGCTATGTCAGTTTACACAACCTGAGGAGCCAGCCCTATATTTTAAAAATACTGCGTTGCTTACTCTTGCAATTTTAGTGTCAGTTTCACAATATTAAAGCCCCAGTTGTTGGAATCAAGTTATTACCGCAGAATCTAAATTTTCATTTAAAAGAAAAAACAGTTTCTATTCCTCATGGCTGTGGAGAAAAGCTTCAAAACATGAATCTTAATACGTTTAATGACAGAAGGCAAATAAAAAGAACCCTCAAAGCTCTTGAGTTTAAGTCAATCTTGTGATTTGTTTGTTTGTTTGGAATTGTCTCATGTCTTTTGAATTCTTGGGGCTAGCAATATTAAAAATACAAACCCAAACAATAGTGAGACAAATAATACAGAAAAATGTTTTCTGCAGTGGCTACCAGCTCACTGGTCCTCAGAAGAAATGCCTCCAAAATGCAAAGACCCCTTTTTTGTTTTGTTTCTCTTTTGGTGTTTTTGTTCTTCCAGTGTGCTATATTGAGTGACAGGCAGCCCTACTGATACACCTTACCTCTACGAAAATGAATCAAAATGGCTTCCAATCATATGGGTTACACTCAGCCAATCAGAAAATTAGAACCAAAACCACGTGCCTAATCACAACCATCCAACTATCCTAGTTAAAAAAGCAACGTTTAAACCATTTCAGAAAATTTTCACTGCTATTCTAAGAGAGGGGGGAAAAGTTTGCATGATATATTGTCAGTACATTTCATAAAGAATTCTCCAATTTCACTAAACATTATTGAACATGAAAACAGATACATTTTGATTCAAAAACATTTCACCGAAATGTTCTTCATCGATCTTTAAGAATGGTTTTCGTAAAAGATTAATTATTGTCCCAACAGGACTATAATTTCTCCTTGGACCCATCACTATTTTCTAGGTACCTCTTTCTAGTTTTTTTCTTCTGATCACTGACATGACTAATAAAGTAGCTCTGTAACAGTAATATTAAGATTTTGCCTTTCATATGATATCTTGCAGCTAAGTTCTTTACACACACAATGAAATCTCACAACTTGCCTATGACGCTAGTCAGTATTACTTGTTCCATTTCAGAGATAGGGAAACCAAGGCACAGATCAGTCAAGTGATTTGCCAAGGTCACACAGCAAGGTCAAGACAGAACCAGGAATACAAACTTAAGGGTCTGATTCCATAAATACTTATGAATGTGAGTAACTGTACTTTTAGGAGTACTTCCATTGATGCCAAGAGGGACATCTCAGGGCAGTAAACAGTACATCTGGCCATGAGTGGTTGCAGGACCAGGCCCCAAGTGTACTGAATTACAGTTCCTGGTCTGTCACATGGCTGGGGACTTTTTATAAGCATATTCTCCTATAAATTGTCTTCTGTGTAGGTTTTTTTTAAAAGTAGTGACTTTAAAGCATTGACCTGCTGTAGAGTCATTTCATTCTCTTAAATACATTTTTAGTGACTTTTGAAAAATCATTTGAGTGACCCAATAGAATGTAGGATTGTTAAAATCTATTTATATGTTTAGTGATGTTTAAAAAAACGCAGGTTATTGACTTAATTATTGATGCAAAGGAGCCATTACAGCCTAGTGGGTAATTAAATACCTTTTCATAAACAGCCCATTTACTGTATGCAACCTAAATTTATGGACACAGTGAAAGTTAATGACTCCTCTGGAACCATTACATCAACTCAGGACACGCTTTGGGAGTACTGTTATTTTTTATTTCCATTTCCATAGTAGTATTAATGAGAAAACGATGAGGTTTTCAGAAAAATACAAATTGTGCGTGTATGTGTGTGCGCATGAAAAAAAGCGTAATGAGCAAGCTACCTGGTCCTTTTTCCTTTTAATGCCTAACAAGGCTAAACCAGCTCGGTGAAAACAGATGGCCAGGCTTTGAGAGGTTTTGTAAATACAGACTGTAGCAGGTTAACATTTATAATTTTTATTTTCACTTCTGCAACTGATTTATGGACTGTGCTAGCCGCATTTTATACCTCTCCTCTGTAGCCATAATTCTACCCAGGTCAGCCTGACATATATTTTGTAACTAATGAAGGGTTTTGGATGTATCCAGGTACAATATGGCATTGAATCTGGAAATCATTCTGGCGTCCTCAGTGGAGACTCTGTAATTCAGTGATGACTTCAGCATCCAACCAACCCTATCTCATCACACTGGATTCTTTTCCCCCTTGCATCTGGATGTATTTTAAGAATCTTGTATTAGATCATTTTTTTTTAATTTTGCTTTAGAATATCAAAGGGAATTATTCAGTTATTGAATATTAGACCCCAAGGATGAGATTTTCAAAAGTGCTCAGTACCCACAATTGATGCCAGGTTTTCAAGAACTCAGTTCCCAGTAGACGCCTATATGAAGTGGCCAAAACCTAATGGGACCTGAGATCTTTTAAAAATACAGTCACTTTCTTTAGGCCTCTAAATGGAAGATGATGGGTGTTGAGCCCATATGAAAAATCAGGTCCTAGATCATTCAGGGAATTGGTAATTGGTATGCAGAAACTCTCATTTCTAGCTTGCCAGCTCAAATCTTCCCCGAATCTATTGTAATCAAAAGTTTTTATCTGATGGTTGTTTAGTAGCCTATGCCAAACAAGTGCATTGTTTCCTTATGTCCACACTACAAAATTGCCAGAATGTTTTGGTGATAACTATCTGCTTTGTTCATAATCTCATCAGAAAGGCCAAAAACTAAATGGCAGTGGAGAGGAAACTATCCTTTCTCCCAGTTTGGCAAAGGACTATATGCCAGGAAGATCACATTGCTGCTGCACGTGCTGGACCTGTTCTGTGGATAAACCGAGGAATTTAGTGCCCAAGACTGTCAATCCAGCACGAAAATTCATAGAAGCTTAAAAATAGATAGATACATCGCAAACGCATGTACCTGCCATGCAGTGCCTGCTTTAGAGCCATCACACACAAAGCCTGGAAGTCAGTGGCAAAACTCCCGTTAACTTCCATGAGTCCAGGATTTCACTTTTGGTTCCTCTGAACAGAAGTCCAGCATTGTCTTGGTTTTTTCAAGCCTTTTGAAGGTTTCCTCATTATACCCCCATATCCCATAAAGACATGCTCAAAGTTAGGCATGAGTGTAAATCTTTGCAAGATCAGGGTCTCTATTCATAAAGAAGGCATTCACCGCACAGAGCCAGTGCTTTATAAGGTCCCAGTTCAGGAGAGCATCTCTACTCAAGGCAGCACTGAAGCACATGCTTAATTTTAAGCAAATATTTGTTGTAAATGCGTAAAGTTAATCACATGCTTAAGGGCCGTCCTGAATCAAGCCCTAAATAAGGAAAATATCATTCTGGTATCTTCCTTGGATTATAGCAAGGGTTAAAGCAATGCCAATCTTATTAATAGATTGTAAATTCGGTTCCTCTTTATTATTGTTGTGCAAAAGCTTTATTTGCCAAGTCTGGAAGATTTAGGACCCTTAAGATAGTTGGTTCCACTCTTTCACTTGAATGATTTTCAGCCTTTTTTGTTCAGCAGCTACCACAGTGGGTCCTGGAACTATGGTATTTAATCATGATGTACCATAATAATAAAATAAACCCTTTGGCATCCATTTTTAAGTGGTCTCCGCTAGTCACATAACTAAATCCCGAACGGGTCCCACATTGAAATCCAGCTTTGTTAGCCATTGTAATGGGCTCCATAAATGGCAAGTAT